ACGACATTCGAACATATAGCGACAATATTAGGACATTATTAGCGACGGTATTTTTTTCTGACGACATAGCGAAAAAAATTATCGTCACTAAAAATGATTATTCTTGTAGTGTACGTCGATCGTATCATGCGGCACGAAGATAGTAAATGAGTTATTTTTGTAGGGTTGTATCTAAAAAGCCAATATACTTGCATCATCTAATTTCCACTCATTTTGGTCAGCATTGTTTCCACCTATTTTAATCACCTTTGTTTTTTAGACACGTTAAAGTTGATTCTATCGGCATTAGCATGTAAATTAATTAATATATTGTCCCACTGATACATTTATATTGATATAAATTTAATTTTAGTATATATATTTATTTTTTGATATAAGAAAAAATAATATATGTACTTATTTTTTAATCACCGGACTAGCGTGAGCCCAAACCATGTTTTAAAAAACTACGTACTGTCATACATATAAATAAATAACTAAGCTATACCAATCTATATGCCATGGTTTTACAATTTTTATATTTATTACCTCTATTACATGTTAATTATATCAATTTTTTCATATATATAAATAAATAACTAATATGATACAATTATATATTAAATATTTGAAAAGGAGATTTTATACTTATAATATATAAAAAATTTCTCCTTACTTAAATCTAATCGTTTAATTATAACTGGTCATGTATACAATTATATATATATATTTAATCTATAAAAATAGTGACTATAAGATATAGATATAATTATTAATGTATAAGCTAATGAATATATTACAATCAATATTGATAATAGAAAATGATATTTTATAAGTTCATTTTTATTCGACATAAATAAGGTACATTCAGTAATAAAAAAAATATTTATTGATTATATTATTAAATTATAATAAAATTGTTACAAAATATGTAACTTTGAGATGAAAGTTAACCGTACCATAAATACGACAAATTAAAATGACAAACAAAACTTATCTTTATTAAATACCATATTATGAAAGAATTTGTCATATTTATATGGAAACAATATATGTTTTTTTTTTTTAATTAAGTTGTATATACCCATATTTTTTTGTTGTTTGAATTATCCACATAGGTCTAATAAATTTAATTCAAAGTTAGAGGGTAAGTCCCAATGCATAATTATGCATAAATTTGATTATTTATTTATTCAAATAATTATACTCATTGTTTTAATGATATATCATACATTAAAATTGAAATTGATAAAATTTATTTATAGAAAATAAATGTACTTTTGGAGGTTTTTTTC